CAATTTACAACATCAGGTCGATTTATCATAATTAAATCACGGTTCTGCAGAATACATTAAATAACTTTTAACCCTAGCAAACGAAGACCAAAAATCATGAAAATTTTACACAACATCTTAGTATACCATAGAGATATCATACTATAAATTTAGCCATTTTGGAGGAAAAATCGATTTTATATGTAATTTACAATATTCTTCCCAGAAATCAAAACGATTAATTAAAATAGCTACAATTAGTATTTAAATCTGAAATTTTTACACGACATATATAATCAACAGAGGACCTCTCACACAAAAATTCACATTAATTGGAGCCGTATACAATTTATCATGAATTTAACACATTCCAACAGCAATATTGATTTCAAAAATTCATATCTCCCATTATACAATTCAATTTGACACAAGGTCAAAACCATTGTATCAAAAACAATCCTAAGTTCCAATTTCCACAGCCTTAACACAAATTTACGAGGTCTCATTTGATTTCTCAAAATTGAAGAGTTCGACTACACAAAATAATCATATTGAACCAAACGTACACATAAAATCATAGGGCATATATTAATTCATAGAAAATGTTCAACACATCTAATAAACACGACAATAATATTTAACATCAACAAGATATATATACACATACACATTCAAGCTTAATCATGAATATAACATGTAAATAATTAAAGAGGGATCGAGTCTCGATACCGCTCTCGGGAAACGTGCGAGAATGGTTTGAACGGATTGACGAGAAAACGAAAACAGCTCGCGGAGGTGAGGTACCAGCGACGGCTAGCGGAGGGGGCTTGTCGGGGTCTGCTGGTCGCGGTGGAGGGCTCGCGGAGGAGCAGCCGCTCATCCTCGCCGTGAGGGTCGCCGGAAGGGGCCTGCTCACAGAGGTGGGTCGCGGCGGAGGAGCCTGTCGGAGGAGGAGCTCGCCGGGGCTTCTTCTTGCCGGAGGGTCGCGAGGGCGGTGGAGACGGAAACTGTCGTGGATCGCGGAGGAAGAAGACTCGTCGGAGGAGGGCTCGTGGAGAAGAACTCGCCGGGATTGTGGAGTTGCAGCCTCTCAGAGGGAAGAAGGAATGTCGCCGAAAATCTGGTGGCGAGAGGGATTTTGGAGCAGAGAAGGGTTTTCTTACTTGGTTCTCAAGACACACACGCACGATTAGGAGGAAAACCGGGTCGGGCTCGGCCGGTTCAGTTGGGCCGGTTCGTGCGGGTCTTCGGGCTGGCTCTCGGGCTCGAGTTAGCATATGATATTAACTTGGTTCGAGGTTCGGGTCTCGATTTGATCGCACGACATTTTAAACAACCCGATATAATAATTATATATATATGATACACACAATAATAAATATATAATCAAACAAATTATTTAATCTGATTTTATATATACACGACGCTCGGAAAATAAATTTCGACATCTGGAAATATTAGTTAATCCAGTAATATATATATATAGAAATTATTAGCATCACTTTGGCAATTAAACAAAATAAATAAATATTTATGCCAATAAAATATCCGAAAAATCTGATAATCGAATGGGGCATTACAAACTAATCTGGGATACACTCGAGGCAGTCAATTGCAACAACAAACCTTATTTTGAAGCTGAGAGCAGTCCGCATTTTTTAGAGGCAATTCGATATGGAGTCCAGGAACTTTATGGAGATCATCTTTCATGACCAAGAAGTAATATTTAAAATTGTTACATAAAACTTACATACTTACGTAAATTATTTAAGTTATAAAGTATAAATTTATATCGTAGGGTGCACACATAGCTGGCATTATACGTTGTGCGCATACGGCAACATTTTGAGATATAATTGAACAAGGCGAGGTTTATGTGCTCCGCAACTACGATGTTGAAATCAATAACGGGAGGTACAATGCACTGAACCACGGGTGGAAGCTTGTGATACATAGAAGGACTCATTTGTTCAAATACGAGGGGAATTTTCCTCACCTCTAATGAGGGGCTGGAGATATTGAAGACAGAATTTAGAAGCAGCTAAAAAGCTATTTTATTTAAGTATATTTGTTACTATGCAATTTCTGCACAGTTTTCTTAGGATTTTGTAATATTTATTGTTATTCCATGTCGCTGAAATTATTGAATTTTATTATGAATTTTAGTGCTATTGTATTCGATGTCGTTATATTCGAATTCGACTTAATATTTATGGAACACGTTAAAAAGTTCTGAAAGTATGTTTAGTTTGCAAATTTTCGGTTTAGATTTTTTTGTTTTTTTTAATATGTAGCCAATTAATATTAAGTACAAAATACATAACAGTTTAGTTTAATATAAAAGGCATAAAAGTTTAATATACATCTTATCCCAAAATGACAGCCGATGCATTCCATATTTTATGCAATGAATGATGCATATAAATTAACGTGTGAAGGGTAGCTGTCAGGACACAGTAAATGCTGCAATTGATGCTTCTGATATCTGGAGGAGTTGTACTGTGCTCAGGCTTACAAAAAACATGCGTCTTCAAAGCCTTACCGATTCATTAGAACGTGAAGAGGTTGCTCGGTTCGCCGAATGGATAGCGAGCATTGGAGATGGAACCATAGGAGGGTCTAACAATGGTTGTGCAATGATAGACATACCTGAGGATATATATTGCTTGAGCCCTCTGATGATTCAATTGCCCAAATTGTAGAAAGCATGTAGCCAATGTTTAAGCAGACAACCGATGATCCCAGTTATTTAAAGGATAGGGCAACATTAGCACTGATGCTAGATGTTGTTGAGTCTATCAATGAGTACATGACGTCGTTGAATTTATCTGACTGTCACACATACTTAAGTTCCGATAGTACTTGCAAGTTGGACTCTAATAACGATTTTCTGGTTGATATCCACGCTCTTGAATTCTTAAATAATATCAAATGTTCCGGAAATCTAAATCATCAGTTGTATTTGTAGATTGAAAACCCCGTCATGTTGTTGCGGAACATGGATCATTCTATGGGTCTATGCAATGGGATGAGATTGGTTGTCACAAAACTCTCCATTCACGTTCTCGAGTGTAAGATACTAATTGGGGATCACGCAGGCGAGAAGATTTTGATTCCTAGAATGGCTATAATTCCTTCTGATGTTCGAATTCCTTTCAAGTTTCAAAGGCGTCAGTTTCCCATTATGGTATCGTACGCCATGACTGTCAACAAGAGCCAAACACAATTGTTATCGCATGTTTATTTATTTCTTAAGAAGCCTGTGTTCAGCCATGGGCAGTTATACGTTGCTGTCTCCTGTGTCACCAATCGAAGTGGTTTGAAAATATTAGTTTGTGGTGACGATGACTCGTCGCCAAATCCAACAAAAAATGTTGTGTACAAAGAAGTTTTCAGTAATTTATTAATTTTGTAATTTGCGCCCAACGTGTTTACTTTTGTTACAAATATAATAAGTTTATTAATTTAATATTTAATATTAAAACATGTTTGAAATATACCATCTCGTGCACATGGGCGGATCTAGCTCATAAAATGAGTGGGGGCCTACTTATTTTTAAAAAAGAAATATAATATATCATAACAAAGTATAAGTACAAAAATACAAATTTATAGTAATTCTTATGCGTTTTCCTAGCTTGGTGTGACTCTACAATAACGTCTTCACATTTTCTTTTGGCCAACAATATTATAATTCACCTCAAGTATATTTGGACTAAAAGTAGCTAATTTTGAAATATTTTCACACACTTTTTTGTGTAGACTATTTATACAAATATTTCTGCATAATTTGAAATAAAAAATTTATAATGTAAAAAATGCTTTATCTAATATATTAAACATTGAGGCCTACAATTTAATTTATCTTTTTTTTTGGCCAAAACGATAGAGATCATATCATAAAAAAACCGGGAACAATGTTCAAATACAATAGGCAAGATCCTACTCAAAGAAATGAAAAACTAGGAGGTACTACACAAAGTACCTAGAGCCTCAACACCAACACAGTCCAAAGATACAAAAATACAGAAATTATGACACTATCCACTGCCAAAGGCCTAGCTAGCAACCATAACTCCCAAGAGCACAACCAAACACAGAAAAAGCAAAACAAGAACAGAAACTACAGCTATGAAAAGAAGAACAACTATCAGAATGAGCTTGCATTGGAACCTGCTGCTTCTGAAGCTTCCAGCCAGTTCCTGTGAGCAGCTGCAACCACAATGTGCTCTGGCATGAGGGATTTATTGAATATACCTAAGTTCCTGGCTTTTCAAAGCCACCATAGCAAATAAGTGGTCAATTGGATCCTGTCCTGCACAACTTCAGATTTCTTGATTTTGCTGATCTGTTGCCACCAACATTTGAAGGAAATAGTGAACTGTTGCCAGTTCTTGAATATACAATTTAATTTATCAGCGACACAAAAATTTAATTGTGAACATAGTGTTTTAAGAAACAACATTCAATTAACTATAAATTTAAATTTTGTATATCAAATCTAACAAAAAGTGAATATATTCTACAAGTATTGTTTCTTAATTTTGTTTCTTTTTTAATATTATTAATAGAGTATTAAACTTTTTTTTTTTTCGAGTAAGGTATATAAGTTATAGTATTTTTTTTTCAGTGCACTGTGCACTCTAAGGATACGCTCCTGCTCGTGCATCGCACGGGTCGCGACTAATCTATATTTAACATTTTTATGTATATATCAATATGAAATTATATTATAAGTCTACAACAAATAAATATGGGGTAATATTTTACTTTTTCAAAACAAACTTCACTTGTCGGCTCGCTCCCGCAATCTCTCTTTGGAATATACACGGAAAGAGATGATAACAGTAATAAAATTACATCACACACATAGCGATGACTCATTCATACTGTCAAGGACAATTTTTTTTAAGATTTACTAGCGTTGCTTAGTGTGAAAGGAAAGGCAGGTGAGATAACCGAAAAAGGGAAGCATATTTAAGAGAATCTTTATCTTTTGGCTTCCGCTTGCTTTATAGGAAATGCAGCGGGTGAGCACTCGGTTTCTGCTGGCGGCGTTGCTGCTTGTGACGGCGGCGGGGGTTGATGGGGACGGGAAGAGCGTTACATTGACTCTCGAGAGGGCGAGTAACGAAGGGCTTGAGCTGAGTCGACTCAGGGAACTCGACCGGGTACGGCACGGCCGGTTCTTGCAGCAACAGCAGCAGCCTCCTGGAGTCGTTGATTTCCTTGTCGATGGAACCTACGATCCTTATCTTGTTGGGTATTTTGTCTAATTTCTCTTCTGAA